GTACGAAATCAAGGCTTGGCCGCTCTCGAAAGGCGCGAGTCCCTTTTGGCGGAACATCAACGCAACGGCCTGCTGAAGACTGAAATCCCATGCTTTCACAACCCCCATTGTAGCGGCATAACAGGGTACTCGACGCCAGACCAGGGCGCAGCTGAACCATGACAGCCTGACACGCTGTGTTTCTCGCCAGGTCTATCAACAATTGAACAAGGACCCGGCATAGGCGATGTTCGTAGCCAAGACTCGGGCCATATTTCAACTAAACCTTGCCGTATCATGTTGGGATCTATCCTCCCGCGATGGATACGTGGTACTTGCCACCTGGTGGTGCATTTTGAAGCGTTGTGTAGGACTACCTGAAGCTACATGATCTGATGTGAGGTCACACAAGTGACAAGCCAGGGTGTGTCTGGCTGACCAGCGGGCGTTCAACTTAGCTCGCTTGACCTTGAAGCTCAATAAGCGATGGTCGAGACCCAGGAGCGACGTAGCCTGAAAGTTACAAGGCGTGGACCACCACTACACCCTTGTCTGCGTGGCCATTTCGGTCAGCCAGTCAGTCCGTGGCTCAACACGACCCGTGGCCGCCCAGCCTTACGTTGTTTCCCACCATCTTGTCCGACCTCAGCATCGCAGCTTGGTTGGCGACAAGCCACGTGGCTATGGTAGGATACACCAAACGAGGAACCTGACAAAAGGCCAACAATACAGCCTTGCGGCTGCCGCAGTTTGTGGTGTGGACCTTGGAGAACTTAAAGAGCGATGACGCACTTCCTAGTTCCATTTCGTTCTCCGCTTGCGATGACCCTTGACTGCATCACAGCGGTACCTAGCCCACGGTGAACAGAGTAAATTGGTGAGTTCGCACCTGACACCAGCAGTACATGACGGCCTCTATCGTCGTCACCTACGTAGCAAGGAATGACTCAGGAGGACAACACCGGTGTAACTGAAGCTCCCAGTGTAGCAAGCATAAATACCCAGCTATTCCCCTCTGGCCGTCAGGGTCCAGTCTACCCTCCTTATCCTCAGCGTCAGCTCTACTGCCAGCTACCTAGTATCAACAACTGAAGTGCCACACAAACCAACTCCAAAAGCAACACCTCTCCAAAGTCAACCCAGCAGCAACCCATCGACAAACAGATCCCCTTTCGAACCTAAACCTAAATTACCCGTCCAAGACTACTTACTACATCGGGAATCACAAACCGAGCGCAATCGAAGGGAAAGAAAGAAGAAAGAAGACAAAAGATAAAAAAGAAAAATGTGCACATCCTACACAGACTACTACCGATGCGGCCACGTGCGCCGCCGCCGCTACGAGCACGCGCTGTGCCACGCGCGCGGCCACACGTCGGCTGCCGACTGCTGCGCCTGCTACTATTATGAGTATGCCGGCGGCGGCTCGGACCCGTGGGACTATCTGTGCTACACGTACCGCTCCTCTCGCGGCCGTGGCGGTGACCGGGATTGGAGAGGGGGCGGTGGAAGGGCGAGGAGGCACTGGACTTGGGGGGGGCAGGGAGGTGGTGAGGATCAATTACAATAATGGGATTTGGATCCCCTGAGTTCGTTCGGATGTGGACTGCTCTGACTACTACTGCAATTGGGAAGGAAGTGAGAGCGAGGTTGGAGAAGGACGGCGCCTTGGTTTAGTTTGTGGCATTGTGCTGGGCTGTGGTTAAGCATGGACATGGTAAGCATGTGATAGACAGGGCGGAGAGACGGTTGCGGATATGGGCGAAGGCGACGCAATCTCGTGTCGTACGGCTCAATGAGTGTCGACCCTCACAGACGTTTTGCTCTTATTATTGTCGCCGACAACATTCGCGCACATGGACTTAAGAAAACGGTTGGGGCATATGGTTTGTGCAATATTGAGAGTCCAGCACAATTCTGTTGGGATCGGCGGGTCCCCTGCGCGTCCTTCTTCGCATACCGCTTTGGCAATAAGAGAGGCGGCTTGACTGGTCGACAGCGTTACGCATCCGCCACATCCGCTATCACCAGGTGCATTACCGACATATCTTTCTGGTTGCAGCTCGCTTCGGCCTCGTTCATGTATCAAAATGACTCAGCGAGCCCCTTGTTGTGGGATGCGTGGTCGCTCGCTACGTACGTGTTGAGTTCCGGGAAGTCTGATTCGTGATGTTCGTCTAGGAAGTGCATATAAGCCGCTGTCTCGACGATCCCTTCCACACGTCCTCTCTCACATCTCAACCCTCAAACCGAATCCGCTCCTGATGCCATCGAACCGTCACCCTCTCACACAATGGCATCCGACTTCGCAGCCGCCAAAGCGTACGCCAGCCCCTTCCTACCCTTGCTTCAACCCCAACTAACACAGGCGGCACCCCAACATGTAGCAAATACGCCGGCCGGCCACGAGAAACGCTCAAAGTCCTGTACGACCACGAACTGCGCAACTGCCCGGGCAAATCCATCGTCGGGCTCGAGCTGCGGTACGCGCCGCACGGCTGGAGCCCGCCGCACCGGCACGCGGGCGCGACGGCGGTGGCCCACGTGCTGGAGGGCGTGTTCCTCAGCGGCATGAACGGCACGCCGCCGCACGTCTACACGCCCGGCGAGACGTTCGTCGAGCTGCCGGGCTGCCACCACACCGTGTCGGACAACGCGAGCAGCACCGCGCCCATGAGAGCGATCGTCGTGCTCGTCGTGGACACGGCCGTGCTGCGGACCGAGAAGGGCTACGCGGCGCTGCTCGAGATCGATGCCGGCTGGGAGGGTGCTTGAGGGGTTGGGATGTATATGCTATGCTATGTGGCTGTACTGAAGACTGCTGAAATCACTTATTATCCACCTGGCCATCGAGTGTCTAATCTTCATTGTTCTCATTGTCCTTCGTCGCACTTACTGTGCTGGCCATCAGAAGCAAAATCTAACCTGAACACACTTGATTATTTGTGCGTTTCAAGGTTTATTTAGCTGTTCTGAGGACAGGGTGGCATAAATGACGACATGTAACCTCTTCCAAATCTCGACGTCTTACACCGACCGGGCCCGCCGCCCATGTGACTTGACCGGCGCTGGGCAGGCTGCGCCATGCTCTGTCACGCCTGGTTCTAACCAGCGTACCGCCCTAGCAAGAGAGGTCGCTGTTGTAATCGCAACCGAGTGTTCCCAAGGCAGCTAAAAGTAGTACTCCTATCTAGTAAGTGAGTTATAAAAATAGCTGCCTATCCTCCGCCCCTGTCCTACCTTATTATTATCATTGTACTTGTATAACTCTACCCAATTCCGTTTTCCTCCCCATCGAAATCCTATATATACGACCGCTTTGAAATACTATGACTATGCCCTATATAGGTGACTGCCGAGTTTTTACAACGCAGTGAACGTCAACCTCATAATGGCCCTAGACCCACCCCACTGCGACTCTTTACGGTACAGAGGAGTGTGGCTAGTGCCATAGATACCTACTTCACAGCTCCCTACACCAAAGTGGTGTTTGAGGCTGAGACTAGAAGCAAGGACAACTTAACAGTTAACACACCGACATCGCGTATCGCTGACATGAACGATCAGCCCACCAAGGGCTCAAGGACTCGTCGCATCCTGTCCGACGCTCTGCGCCGTATTTGTAAATATTAACCCAGTGTCAGGATAGTGAATCCCCTCGAGGTTGACATTTCACCTTCACCTTAACCTAGCGCAGCGACAAAGTACAAACTCAGCTCACGTACTGACAGCAGCAGCAGCCAAACTACTACTGAGTTGCTTTGCTAGCCGCTGCGGATTTCACTGTGAATGGCTCATGCCAAGGCTCGCCGGTTGCACTGCTGTTCGAGCCCTTCGGCCGCGTGAAACGCCGCGCGAGATACCAGACGCTCATGGCGGCCAGCACAGCCAGCAAGACGATTTCTCGCGCCGAGTGGGCTGCCCCGATGTCCGAGACTCGGAGGTTGGTTAGCTTGATTCTCATCTCAGCTGCCCGTGCAGACGGACATGCGCGGCGCTGGCACGTGGCTGAGGACGACTCACGTTTCTCCAGGACAGCATCCCCCAGCTGTGCTACGCGCCCCAGCACTTCAGCATAGTAGTCGAGTCGAGCTCTCTCGGGCAATTCGGTGGCACGGAGAGGAGGGCGAGTTGCTTCCGTCGTCGTGTCGGCAGGAGCCCGGCCGCGGCCGAGCCGGATTGAGGGCACACCCCGCGCCTCGGAGAAGGCCTCCCAGACGGTGCGGGGCGCATTCTTGTGTGCGACCAGATGGCTCCACGCCGTGTCGATGGGCATGTCGACGCGCGAGATGTTGTTACCATCCTGCGGCTCTTTCTGCAGCATCTCCCGAGCGAGGCGCAAACGGATCGATGCAGTTGGGCCTGTGGCGAGCCGGTACTCGACGTGTTTCTCGCCAAGCTTGCCTACTGCCTGGCTGTTCCGGACAAGAGCGGTCCCGGCCACGGTGAGGTTCTCCAGACGGCTGTGGAGGATGACATAGTCGGGGTGGGCTTGAGGCTATTTTGATATATGCCAGGGAGGCACTGCGTCAGTAGGCCGTTTGACAATGAAGGGGCATCGGTTCTGCAAGCCTTACATCAACCTGTACCCGTGTGACGTCTTCGGCGTCGTATCGCAGGTTTGGGTGAGCAACATCTCCGTCGTGGAATATAAGCAGCTGCAGACCCTGCTTGAGGGGCCTGCCAAAAACGATGTACCCAGGCCAGTTACTCCCGCATTGGTTCGGGCAGTTCGCGACCGAGGGCGGTTGCCAGAAATAAAGGTCTGTCACAAGGTACCTGAGGTCACTTTTGCGGCATTCTTGAATATTGGGACGTGGCACGGAGGATGGGATGCTATATCCACGCGTCAGCCAGACTCACAGCTGCGCCAAGAGGCTACTGTCCAGCCGTACTTGATTTCGAAGACTCCCATATTTGGGCGGTAATTCTTGGGTCCAAACTCGTGGTTGAGGTAGGCACAAAACACGGCGCCATGTCGTCTGTTTTGAGTGGGATCCAGCGCTTGAATTCGAGCACAGCACCCGCCTTCCACGCACTGCGACAGAACCCGAGCTTAGCCACAGAACTACCAGAGTCAGAGGTGATTCGGACTTAAGTACCTTGTTCATGGGAACTTCGTCCCGATCCTTTCCGCTCACGGTAGGCAACAAGGAAAGACTGAGTTTCCTCCGGTTCTCGCGAGTGTCACTATAGGTCAGGCTAAAGTAATGCGTCCCAAGCGAGTAGAGGAAGTAGCACATCGTGTTGATGCAGACCTCCGGGTACCCCGTGGCAGAGCAATCGTATGTGAACGGTTGGGCAAGGTTGGGTGCGTTGTACACCGCGGATGTGTACTGCCCGCGTGTTAGTCGCATGCCACACACACACACACACACACACATATATATATATATATGTATATACTCGCAGAAACGTAAGGGGGAGGGAGGTTGCCTACCAGAGGAGCCATAGCGCCCTTGGACCAAACCCCTTGGGTGCTCTCGAAAAACGGCGTGTAGTCCACATATCTGTCGCGTAGCCAATAGGGCGCGTCATCGCAGTCGCAATACAACTCGGAATCCGGGTCCACGTCCAATAGGTTATCTTGAGCAGGTGGCAGCTCGGCATCCATGATGGCCTCCAGGGCCGTTCTGCCATCATAAGGCGTAGCAGGGAGCTTGGAGGAATCCGCAAGGGTTGAACAAAGGTTGCTGCGGTCGTCGATCGGCACGCTGACGCTATACCCGTTCCACGTGAAGAGGCTCTTGGTCCAAACGGAGTTGCAGCTGCCACCGCAGCGCCAGCAGCAGGACCACCAACACGTCCAGCAGCAGCATTCCCAAATCTCCACGTTCAAGTCGACCGAGCCGAGAAGGAACTGCCCCGCCAGAATGATCGAGTCGCCAAAGCCGACAGTGAGCGGGCTGGGGCTGTTGACAACAGCACCGCCGCTCACTTTGAGATCGATGGTTGCAAAGTCGAGACTGCCCTTGATGCCCCCCGATACAACCAACAGGTGGACGTTGGCAGAGATCTGCCCGCTGATGCCAGCATTGGGGTCCAGATAGGCCGCGATTTGGCCGGGATAGGGGTGAGAGATGGGCTGATCTGTTTTCACTGCGTGGCCGGGTTAGCCCAGACTCGTTCCTGCGTCCTATAGACACTACAAGCTTACATCCGATGCCATAGCTGATCCCGTACCATCCAACAAGCTCGACCCTCAAGTTTACGTCGGCGATCATAGGTATCCCGTAGCTGGCGGCCCCCCCCCCCCCCGGGCCCCCGGTCGTCAGCTGATGCCAGTTTTGAAAGAAAGAAGAAAAAAAAAAGAACAATCGATGCAGCCTCAACTCACTAATACGTGGCCGAGATGAATGTTCTCGTCTCCCGAATCGACTTGGCAAGTGGGGATGGCTGCGTCAGGTTGCAAGCGTCTCCCGAGGAGACTTGAACTGCGGTCTGATGCCACCCGTGAGTCCCAGTGATCTGAAGAGGTACATTAGTATAAATAAATAACGGATCTTACTGCTGCCTGATATTGTATCGCAATCACATAGTACGGGACCTGTTGGAATGAAGGGAGATCCAGCAGGAAAACGGCCAACCAAGCAGTCAGACTGATGAGCCCGCCACTCGTCGCCACGGCTTCGATCCCCGCAGATGCAATGTCAAAGTCAGTTTCGAATATCTCGCCGCCCAAGTCAGCTCCGGCGTAGAATGTTGCCCCGGTGGCGTCAAGGTCGCTCTCGACGTGAAGACCAACCAAGAACTTCGCATTGTAGCCTTTTGTTTTGTTCGTTAATTACTAGTATTAGCCAGTTGCGGGCACCTCCCCCCCCGGCAACTCACCGCCAAACTCTTTGTCCCAGACCAATGGAGAAAAGTTTGCTTGGGCGACGGCTTCCGTATCATTGACCCGGCTCACGGCGTGTTGGATGATTCTGAGACGGGCAGCACCGGCACGGGCCAGGCGACTGTCGGCTGCGTTGGCGCCGGCACGTTTCCGGAAATACGTGGCGAATCCGTCCAGATCACTCTGGTGACGTCGGACACGGGGCTGGTACAAGTACCGGAGCAATTGCTGGGTCACCATCATCCAGTCTGTCGTTTGATGATGGGCCAGAGCGGCCATTCCATATCGCCTGACCGCCTTGTCCTTGTGATGTAGAACATTGTGTACCAGCTTCGTGGTGGCGCCGAGCTGGAGCAAATGAATGGATGGTCAGCATCCGTGCATCTTCTGCGGGACCCCGCGCGGAGGAGAGGACTGCTACTCACCGTCGGGACGTTGGCAATCGCCCGGATGGCACCAACCCTCACAGACGACGAGTTATGGTGCAGCAGGTCGCTTGCTGCGTCGACAACGTCGGGGTGCCGCGTGTTAGCCATGCCGTACACAGTGCCCAACAGTTCGTGTGGTGCAATCTCTTGATGCTTGCTCGTCGTGTCCAGGAGACGGTTCATCGTTTCGTGGTGTGCCGGGTCATAGTCGGGGGTGTCGAACGGGCACGCCCCCTTCCCAACGAAAGCCGCGAGCGCATTCTGAGCGGAGAGGGAGATCTCTTTGTCTAGTGTTGGATCAAAGGCCAGGGTGATCAGGGCATCTTCGATCACGGCCGGAAAGCACGGGAGAGATGGAGATTGGGTAATGGCGCTGGCGCGGACAGGGACTGCGTTGGCGTTTGGTTGCTGGCCATTCATGATTTTGGCCATGTTGTCGGCTATGATGGAGGAAACAGGGTACTCGTACACAGCACCGAAGATAGGGGAGGCGTGAGCGTCATCCGAGATGACAATCTGGCCGCTTGTGATGGCCTGCCAAAGGCTGCCGATCGAGAGCGCACTGCAGGCAGCAAAGAAGCGGCGGAACTCCAGAAGCGCGTTTGTATCGGTGGGGTTTACAAAGAGCTCCTTGACCGCGGCCGTCATGGCTAGACAATTGTTCTGTTAGAAGCGAGGGGAGGATCATTCTGAATCAGTGAATGCCCGAGTTGCCTTACTGTCGGTTGTGCAAGTATCGCCGCTGGCGGCATACCAAAACGGGTCGTCAAACCCGGTCCTTGTGAGGTTCTGAAAATTCACTTGCTTCGTCTCCGCTGGAGCGCGCCGGGACGAACTCTGCAATGTCGAAAGGGCAGCGGATTGCGCTGGAGAGGTTGCCAGTTACGTCAGCCCGTTCGTTCCTCTGCTTCCCTCCCCTTGAGGCTCCAGCAGGCGAGAATACAGAGAATACTTGCCGTTCATCGCAGGATACCCGAGCGGTTGGTCCCTCTGCACCTTCGCCTGCGTCTCCGCTTGGAATGGCTGCCACGAGTCAAAGGCCCGCCACTGGCCCGACGCGACGTACTGCAGCGATCGGATTTTGTGCCCTCCAAACGGCGTAGCGATGGCGTGTCGAGTGGGCAACGCGCCCCCTGCAATGGAAGGGTCGAACGAGACCTCGGTTTTTTCGACAAGAATTAGACCGCTGATGGGCATGAAAACGGAGTGGGCAGAACCGGCTTACTTTGTCAACGCCAATGACGGGCAGGCCGTTAGAATCCAGTACCAGTTGGGGTGTGCTGAGAGCGTTTGTCGCAGCGGACGTGGCAAGAATTGCGCAGACGGACGAATTCGCCAACACGACAAGAATGCCATCCTCCTCCTTCGCCAGCGTTTGTCCATTGGGAAACTTGAAGCCGGCGGGAAAATGGAACGTCTCAACCTAAACCCGCGAAATCATAAATCATTGTCAGCGAGCAAAGACGGTAAGGATAAGAGCGAGGTGACCGCGAGCACTCACGTGGGTTACGTTGACCGCAGCCCCTCTGCTGTCTGTCCCCAGATCTATGTTATTCCAGTCGCTATACCCATCCGCGATATTGATCGAGGGAGTGGGGCTGTAGAAGCTGAAGACCAGTTTCTGGGACGCTGTAACAGCGGCTACGTGGGGCAGCACCCAGCTGACGCCAACCGGTTGAAGTTCCAAGATGTTCTGAGCGTTCATGACCACGTCGAGGCTGGGGATCTGGGCGGAAACGATGGGGCCCCGGGGGGACGCCGTGCCGGCACACACGGCGCTTGACAAGATGAAAGCCTGCCCACCCGTCGATACCCAGAATCCAAACACCTCGGACGGAGGCGAGGTAGCAGCGCATGGCTTCGTCCAGGGATGGAACTTCCCCGTGGCTGATATTAGCAAATGAATCCAATGAAGGCAGACAGCAAGCCAAGTCTAGAACTCACGTCGAGCACCTGGCTGCCGGGATCTATCACGCCCGGGTCTGTGTAATTCACCCAAGCGGAGGCCACGTCGTTCCCGTCGGTCCGGTATACCCATATGACACCCTGGACGTCCACCGCAAACACGTCCCGTGGGCCAGGAACCATTTGCTGCAGCGAGACGCCAGAGATGAACACCAGAGGTGAGGGTTGCGTGTTTCCTATGGGATTCGGCCACACCGTGTTTCCTTTGAGGCTCCATCGGGCCAGCACGCCCTTGTCGTTGAGGGTGAAGACGTTAACCACCGGGGTGGTGCCGAAGATATACCCTGCTCTAGCATCGGTGACGACGCCGAGGCCGGGGTCAGGTAGCTCCTTTGTTTGCAGGTACATGGAAGCTGTGTCATCCTGGCTGGTAATGGTGGTCCAGTCCGCAATGATACAAGACGTGACTGGGATTACGCCTGGGGCCTCGGGGGTTCCGAGATCTGCAGAGTCTCCGCTGGAAGCCATCGAGATCCCTCCGGTGCTGCTGTTCGAGTAGCAAACCTGCTGATGAAACTCTTCAAACTGATCCCCTTGCACGCTTTCCGCCTCGACGTCGAAGCAGGGGTCTCCTGTGCCGGCAACCTGGAGAAGGTGAGAAAGCGTCAACAGGTGAAGTTCAATCGAGGAGGGCGCCATACTGTTCCAATATACGTGTACGTAATGTTACGGGGTGTACCGAAGCGACCAGGCCGTTCCACGACATATGACCTGCTGCCTGGAGAGTAAGTCGACTGTAGGGTTCGGACAGTGCTGACCAGCAGTTTTGTGTAGGCAGCGGGGTCCTGGAGGTTGTTGGGGTCCTGTCCCGACGTGGACTGGTTCCAGTAGACATTGATAAACTCCCCCGAGGTGAGATTCTGCGTCACGTAGACGAGCGGCTGCTGACTGATGTCGCCCGAGTCAAGGCCACAGCTATCGTTGGTGGCTCGCGGATCGCGCACAAATTCCCCAGACGATTTGTCCAGCTTGGAGGGTCCTTTCTGGACGTTGCACTTCGACACGCTGATGCCAACACGGAAGACGACGGTATCTGGTTCCGGGGACTGATCCAGGGGCTCCGTGATGACCAGGAGCGCAGCGGCCACCGTCGCACCGAAGCCCTCGGATGGCGGGTCTCCGATGCTGGTTGCAAACTGGAATACATCTGCGGAGCTGTTCAATCCGATATTGTACGAGTAGTTCGTGCTGGGCTTGAAGGCCGGAGAGACGATCACCGGCGGGTCCTTGAGACGGCCGTCACGGTGAATGGGCAAGGTTGGGGCGCGAGGAAGTCGGCGAACAGGGAATGGCGCCGAGGCGGCAAGCGAGGCTGCCTGCGCAGACCACAAGACGCTCAGGAGGCTAAGGGCGACAAGGAACGCCGGGAGGGCGTGGTGACTCATAACATCCATCTTGTCCGTTCAAGGTTCTCGATTCTCCGGTGGTTAATCGGATCGGTGTGAGGCACGCGGAAAGTCGTATATATGAGCCGGGGGGGATCCAAGTCGGGAGGGAATGCCATGTTTATAGTGCATCGAGATCACACCTGCGTCATCATCTCCGTCACGGCTGGTAGTTGGATCAAATGCGGTTCATCATCCAATCAGATACGGACGGGCGAGTGAAGTTTAGTGGATCGAGATCGCATGCAACGGCCAGAACCATCTCCGTCGCCGCTTGTCCTTGAATCAGATCTTGTTCCCCATCCAATCAGACACGAATAGGCAAGTATCATGTGGTAGAAAAGCCGGGTAATAGGGGTTGAAAAGTAGAGCCAAGAAGTGGTGGAATTTGTGGTGGTAGGCTGGTTGGTAAGTTGGTAACAGGAATTGGTTTGTAGCTTCCAACAGGGTGCAGTCGAATAGAAATGGATTATGACCAGATGACTGGACTGGGTAACAGAGTTTGATTGATGGTTGAATTGGCTACCAGAGCCCGACCCAGGCAAGATTGTAATGGCTGCCAGAGTGATGAGGATGTTGTAGGAAAACGAAAGAGTTCCAGAGACCCAGTTCACTTACCGGCCAGTCAGTAATCGAGGAAGATTGATTAGTTGTTGAAAAGACTGCTGCGCCCGGCCCAGGTGGTGATCATAATGACTGTGTCTAACGGACAGATAGAAAGGGATGATGGAGGCTCTAGTCCTTGGCTCTGGCTCTCCCACCGTTGTCACACACCAGGGTGGCTCTTTCCCGACCTAGCAGTGGTATTGAAGGTTCTTTTATTCGATGCTTTATATCATCAAGAAACCGGGACCCAGAATGATAATTATGATGTTCCTACGCAAAACCTTTCAACTCTTAAAAAACAAAAACCATTCGCCATCCGGCCGGAGGCAAACCAAGGATTATCCCAGACGGGGCTAACGGATCGCCGCAACATCGAGGGAAGAGGAGGGCCAAATCGAGATTACAAGAATCCACCTAAAGATCGCTCGCTGCCCCGAGATTAACCTACAATGAGGAGGGATATGGATATCCCTCTTAACTGCGCAAAGGATGATGCAAATAGGGGAGGTTTTCGACGATACTATCACCGGGGAAGGTACCGGGGAAACGACCGGAATCCGGGCAATAAACGAGCAAGAAGAAACAAGTCAACCAGTTGTCTGGGCATATATGATACCCCACCTGGGTAAAAGTACGTTAACAAACAGAAGGTTTGGGACGCAGAGCAGAAGCTCAGGGTCGTATAAAACTTACAGCTCATTCAGGCGCACGGCCATGCAATCCCCACGCTGGCGTTACCTCAGAGAGTACGTATCCCAGAGATGTCCGTGACACTATCCTGATGTAGCATTCATTCATTACCATAGCGCGCCACCCAGTTCAGAGAAAACGGTTGCAGGTACAATTTTATAGTGTGAAAACGGTCTCGAGACGAAAATAGGAAGGGGTTAATTTTGGCAATCGGCAATTTCTATTGCAGGCCTATTTTAATGGATTATGACCATTTTCATAAGGACCCCGTTTTCTTCTTAGAATCTGTTTTCTCCAGAAGGCTGTTTTTTAGTCGAAAGATACTAGGGTAAAACATTACCCTAGGTAGGTAAAGATTCTACAAGTCTACGGGTCTACATAAAGAAATGGGTGGGCACAGGATCGAACACGGAGCTACAAGGTTACAAGTCTACAAGGTTACCACTACACTACGGCAATCACAACTGAGAAAAGCAGACATTGTGCCTATATACCTACTAGGGGCACCTTCCATAAGTCCTCCTCTAGGTAAAACAGACTTACTACTCTAAAATAGACTAGGGCTCAAAAACAGGATGCTTAAGATAGAATAGTCTTCTAGGCAAAGACCATTATTATAGCCAATATGTTATATAGGGCTGAATGTAGCTAAATCAATGATGGGGCAGGTTGCAGGCCGGAAAACGCTCCCTTATGGAGGTGCGGGTTCCACTAGGTCAGAATCATACCTGCAACGGTTTTCTCTGAACCTGGTGGCGCGCTACGGTAAGTGGTATTATGCACGGCATCGAAAACATTTCCCGCCTCCTGACATCTTGTTCCATCCTTACGAGGCTAACTCTCCGCTCCTCAGTGGACTGCACTCGAATCCTAAAACCTGAGCTCTGCTGCCACCACCGCAAAGCGAAGGGAAGGAAAGGAAAGGACGAGCAGCAGGATGGTGAGAGTCCGCCAGGAACTCGCAACGTGCCGCCTCCTGGGTAACATGGACTCAATGACTTGATGGTACCTCGCCGAGTATGTCGCCTTACCCTTACGTCCGCGCCCAACACAGGATCTCTCTCCGCGCAATGCAATGGACCCTCTTCCTCGAGAAATACCTACCTGAGGTCTGCCAACCTCTTTGCCGGGTTCGACGCGGTGGCTGTGCTTTCTACAGCCTACCGGCGTCGACACGTGACGCCGTGACCCGAGGGCAGTCGGAGACTCGGAGTCTTGCACAGCCTGGTGATTTTCGACACATCTGTTCTGTTCTCTACCCGGCTTACGCGGGTGTACGGGTAGTGTTACATCTGGGCAGGCGGTTACCGAGTTGAGCTATGCCAGGGAGTCCCGATGGGAGGCTACTGGGTATCTGCCATGGTGCTATGTGCAGCAGTGTCTTTTCCACCTTCATGAAGCCGACGACGAATCGCTGATATCGCCCTTCCTCTCCTCCGCCTTTGAGAATGGAGATCGCCAATCGACCGGTCACCTATTGTTATCAATTCCAGATCACAGAAATGATATGCTATCCTGTTCCTCCTTGGTCCTACGGACTCCTACCTTACACAGCAGGACGGAAGACATATATCTGGCTTCTGCCTTTGCATTCGGTTCCTGCCGTCAGCCAGGTAACGTTACAACTTTGAACCGGTATCTTGCATGTAACGGAGGGCGGCGTCAGCGTGGTATAAGGCCGAGACCTAGTCCCACCCGCGAGTTAGTGTAGGCGGTACCCCTTATTAACCCCGCGTGGACGGCGGTTAGGGCCCTCATTCCGCGCTGCCATTCAGGCACCGGCTGCCGCCCGTGGGCCGTAGTTCACCCCTCGGTAGTGGCAGACATGGGTTGTCGTGGGTGTGCAATCTGTCGCTCTCAGACTCGCCATCGCTCGAGATTGCGATCACGTCGTTCTGTGGCATTTTGGTACCACCAGGCCGTGGATCGCCTGCATTCTGCATCGACTGCGTCCTAGAGATGGTTGAAGAGGGGTAATCCCGTGCGAAAACAACACGGGTCGTAGGCTTAGGATCCGCCGCCGCCGCAGGGGGAGTGTAGAAGTTTTGGTGATCAAGGCAGACTGGTGCCATGGTGTTGCCAGTAATACCGCGCTGCTGAATTGCAGAATGACGCCAAAGGCTCGAAGATACCCGGAGGAAACCAGTGTAGAAGCTAGCCATCTTCGCAGACCTGGGTACCGGGGAACGAGCAAAATATATCAGCGTGTGCGGAAACTCGGCCACAGACCTGGCTCACTGACAAGGAGTTGGACCTAGCCTCCAACTCCCAATCCGCTCCGCCAATCGCGACAGCTCGTAAGGAACGTGCCCGGCATGTCGCTTCAAGCACGCGAGACATCGATTCACCGGTCCCTCGTACCTCTGCCAATCACGCAATTGCCGAGACGGAAAGGAGTTGGGCCGGAGAAGGGAGCAGCCGCAGGGCATCGTATCGCGGCGGGTTCACGACCTTGGCGTGGGTGCCGCATGATCCACGGCGTCGCCGAAAGTCGCCCAGGTCGGCTTAGCCGCTGTGACGCAGGCGCGTCGTCTCTCTTTCCTCCAGCCCGCTGCATGAACTAGCCCCCTTCCTCTTCGCCGTCCCGCAGCCGAAACCACCCAATCGCGAGACTACCTCTCACCGAGCTGTCGCATACGCGACCGCTAACCCAGGGCCATTCAACCCCCCCGCCACAAAGTGGTCCGAGTCTGCCTCGCCGTCAATGCGACAAAGACAAGGATCGTCCGTCATGCGTGACCGCGAGCCAACGGGAGCATCAAAGAGGCCACGTCATTTTGGGGTCCGTGTTGTTCCTTCGCCTGCTCCACTGTCCTTGCTGCAGCCAGGACCGACTTCGTCTTTCTTTCCGGAGCCCGCCCCCATTGGATCGCATCGCCAAGGGCTCGTTTCGGCGCGGCCTTTCTATCCACGTCCGCTGCAGGCTGAATCGCGGCGTGTGACCCAAAAACAGATCGCAGTCAAATCAGGAGCGATCATGCCGTTCTCGTGGCCACTCTCTTGCAGGCTCCGCCGCAGCGTGTGTCGACATTCGGTCCGAATACGAGATTATCCGACTTGCAGACGGGGAGGTCGCCAATGCGCCAAGCGAGAGGAGGCGTCCTGGTGTCTCTGCATCGGACGCAGTCGATAACTGCGGCATTTTTGTGACTGGTCAGAATTAGCGTGCACGACAAATCGCCCACACAGGGGGGACCTACCAGGCAGACGCGAAGTCGCCCGCCACGGACAAAGGGAGGCATCCTGGATGGCAGAGCAAGGAAAGCAGGCGGATCTCGATCGCTTAGTGTAGATGAAGCTCAAAGTCAAGTTGGAGTTGTAGTATGAGTCGAGTGAAAGCCGTGGTGAAAATGAGCCGGAACGCAAGCGGTAAGGAGAAGGGCTCGGGGGAAACAGTTGCCAAACAGCGCAAGTACTGCGCGAGAGGCGATGTGCGAGGCTCCGAGGCGCCGGAAAGAGGGGAAGGCAAGGGCTGGTAGGTAGGGACGCGCGGCCGCCTTGGCGAAATGAGCGATCAGAGAGGCGTTGGTGATGAGCACATTTGAGGAGGCAGGGGCCGAGCGAAGGAAAAGAGTAGAGGGATGAAGGGAGAAGTCGAGAGTACAAAAAAGGGACGTCGGAGAGGCGAGGCTCGTATTTATGCGACGGGCGCGCTGGGCCGTGCGAGCACGCGGTTCGGACGCGGCGCTATACCCGATCGGGAGGGTCGCTAAACCCGGCGGGTGCGACAGCGAGTTCTAGATTACAAAACAACACAACTATCAACCAACTACAATTACATCAGAAACGGCTGAATCAGATGCTTCTGCAACCTCCTGACAAGTGCGGGCATTATGACCAGGCTTGCCGTATACACCACAGC